GCGGTTCACCACCTGGTTCTCTCGGCCTCCGACAGCGGCGACCCGGTGCGCACTGGCAGCGCGCGCATCCGCGTGACCGTCCTGGACGCGAACGACAACGCCCCCGCGTTCGCGCAGCCCGAGTACCGCGTGAGCGTCCCCGAGGACGCGGCTGTGGGCACCACACTGCTGCGGGTGAACGCCACCGACCCCGACGAAGGGGCCAATGCGGAAGTGATGTATTCCTTCCGGTATGTGGACCACAAGGCAGCCCAACTTTTTGAGCTGAATTGTAATTTAGGGACAATTTCAACAAAAGGGGAGCTGGACCACGAGGAATCAGGATTCTATGAGATGGAAGTGCAAGCAACGGATAACGCAGGATATTCTGCGGGCGCCAAGGTCCTCATCACAGTCTTGGATGTGAATGACAACGCCCCTGAAGTACTGGTCACCTCTCTCTCCAGCTCCATTATGGAAAACGCTCCGAAAGGGACACTGGTCGCCCTTTTAAATGTAAATGATCAAGACTCCGGGGAAAATGGACAAGTGGTCTGTTTTATCCAAGAGCATCTGCCCTTTAAATTGGAAAAGTCTTATGGAACTTACTATAGCTTAGTGACAGACACACCCCTAGACCGAGAACTGGTCCCTAGCTACAATATCACAGTGACGGCCACCGACAGAGGGCGTCCACCCCTGTCCACGAAAACTCACATCTTACTGAATGTCGCAGACACCAACGACAACCCACCTGCCTTCTCTCATGCCTTCTACACCGCCTACATCGCAGAGAACAACCCCAGAGGCGCCTCTATCGTCTCCGTGACTGCCCATGACCCCGACTATGGGGAGAACGCCCAGGTCACGTACTCTCTGGTAGAAGACACTGTCCAGGGAGCTCCCCTGTCCTCCTACATCTCCATTAACTCGGACACTGGCGTCCTGTACGCGCTGTGCTCCTTCGACTATGAGCAGTTCCGAGACCTGCAGCTACAAGTGATGGCGCAGGACAGTGGGGACCCTCCATTCAGCAGCAACGTGTCCCTGAGCCTGTTTGTACTGGACCAGAACGACAACACGCCAGAGATCCTGTACCCTGCCCTGCCCACTGATGGTTCTACCGGTGTGGAGCTGGCACCCCGCTCTGCAGAGCCCGGCTATCTGGTGACCAAGGTGGTGGCAGTGGACCGAGACTCTGGCCAGAACGCCTGGCTGTCCTACCGCCTGCTGAAGGCCAGCGAGCCAGGGCTCTTCGCGGTGGGGCTGCACACGGGAGAGGTGCGCACTGCAAGGGCCCTGCTGGACAGAGACGCGCTCAAGCAGAGCCTGGTGGTGGCTGTTCAGGACCACGGCCAGCCCCCTCTCTCTGCCACTGTCACACTCACTGTGGCCGTAGCTGACAGCATCCCAGATGTCTTGGCAGACCTAAGTAGCCTTGAGTCTCCCGCCAACCCTGAGGACTCTGGCCTTACACTCTACCTGGTAGTGGCAGTGGCCGCAGTCTCTTGCGTCTTCCTTGCCTTTGTCATCATGCTGCTGGCACTCAGATTGAGGCGCTGGCACAAACTGCGCCTGCTCCAGGCTCCGGGAAGCGGGTTTGCAGGCGTGCCCGCTTCCCACTTTGTGGGCGTGGATGGGGTGCAGGCTTTCCTGCAGACCTATTCCCATGAGGTCTCCCTCACCGCGGACTCCGGGAAGAGTCACCTGATCTTCCCCCAGCCCAACTATGCGGACACGCTCATCAGCCAGGAGAGCTGTGGGAAAAGCGAGCCTCTTTTGCTGTCAGGTGATTCAGTGTTTTCTAGAGACAATCATGCATTAATTCAGGTGAGTCCATATCAAATACTATTCTCTGAGCTTTGAGCAAAATATCTCTTATTATAGGTGATGAGTATGTATTGGGAATTTATAAAGCAGATACTAATAAAGTTATGTATACATGGCAGACACCAATGACAACCCCTCCACTTTCCCTCAGGCCTTCCCTCACACCTTATTTATAACAAATTTTTATGTACTTGTGTATGTTGCATATAAAAATTTGAATCTACTTTATTTTTTAAAATATATTTTTATTGATTTCAGAGAGGAAAGGAGAGGTAGAGAGAGATAGAAGCATCAATGCTGAGAGAGAATCACTGATCGCTGCCTCCTGCACACCCCACATTGGGGAATAGAGCCTGCAACCCAGACATGTGTCCTGACCGGGAATCGAACTGTGACCTTCTGATTCATAGGCCGATGCTCATCCACTGAGCCATGTGGGCTGGGCTGTATCCACTTTATAAAGTACTTGTTAAGAAACTATCTAGTTTCACTAATTTAATTAACAAACTATAAAGCTCTTCCTGCTTTTAGTTGATCTTATTTCCCATTGGCCATGCAAGAGTTTTATATTGAACATCTGATGCCAATTTATCTGTTAAGAACTCAAATTCTTCTCGAGGAGGTAAATCTAATTTGATGAAAATGATAAATGATATTTTAAATAAAGCTTATAAATTGAGTGACTTCAACTACACCTTAAATGGCTACAAATTCATAAAGTGCATTTAGTTTCTTCTGAAGTGCAATGATTTCTCTGGTCATTAGAGACACATACATTTATAATTTCTCAGTGTGCTAAGTCATTTCATGGTTTCAAATCATTCTTGAACTTCCAAATATGGTGAATTTATTTCTTACTTAAAACTTTCTCACTGAAATATGCAAATGTATAAGTGTTCTCATGCGGAAAAACTGAAAAGATGGGTTTTTTTCACCCCCATTATAGATTTTGGGAATATAATGTCTGTATGTGTTTCCAGTTTAGATATTTCTTTTACCCATTTTATCCACACTGATTATTTTAATGATGACTTTGTGGAACACTGAGAGCTAACAAATTGTGTTTTGAGCACATTTTTTGGCACTTTGTTGGATTCGCAGCAATTCTCTTTTCTTATGTTAAATTTCCCACAATGTTCACACTCATGGAAAATTTTCTGGGACATGCACAGATTCTAACTTTTTCCTGAAAAAATGTATCCTTATTGTAGAGTGCTAACGTACATTATTCATGAGAAAACATTTCTGGAACCTGTGAGAAGCCTGGTTTCTTTTGGTTATTCCGGTATAAAGTAGGGAATAACATCCTTATTGTTTTCTTTCTTTATTTGTTACCTATCTGCTTTCAAAAATACAATATTCAATTAAACCCTAGACTTATAAAAGAGATTGAAAAACATTTAGAGAAAGGAAGAAAATCAAATGGCCCTAAAATGAGACTGTTACTGAGATTCACATACAACTTTATGCTTCTTGACAACCAAGACCAAAAAAAATCCAGAAATACAGTGTGGTTCTATTTGTGTATGATTTTTTTAAAGGAAGTTTTGAGTATACCTAAATATGCAAACTTTGTGTAGACATTAATTTACAAATGGAATTTAAATAGCTTTCTAAGTAATTTTGAGGGGAATAGAGGGGAATGTCACTCCTGTTGTTTTGTAAAAGCTATCAAAATGTTTATCACAGGGCCAGTTTTCATATGGTGGTCAATTCTGAAGGAAAGATGGAGCACACAACAGAAATTATTTGGGAGGATGACCTAGTATTGTCCAAATATGCTGACTTCTGTTCATTTTACCCGAGTTAGTGATAATCTGTAAGAGAAAGAACAATGATTAATCATGACCCACAGGCTGTATCGCAAGTATCAGTGATCTTAACTGTGCTTCTAGTTTGAGCTAAATGGGTTTCACTGAATGGTTGTTGAGTGAATGAATCAACAAATGTATGCGCTCTAGGGATTACCTGATATCAGTATTCTAAAATGTAGTCAGATGGAAAAATAGCAGCTTTGCAACGAGGTAACTCCTAATGGTGTGACCTTTGACAAATTATTTAATCTCTTTCAGCTTCAGCATAATGGGTATTACAATATATAATTTGTAAAGCTGTGGTGAGGATTAGTGGTAACATATAATTGGTTCATAACGTGCTTCATACGTAGTATGTACTTAATTAGCAGGAGCCATTTTTTTACATTGTTAATAGAAAAAAAGGAGCCATGCTTTTAATGTCAGCACACTTAACATTCTGTTGGGGAAAGTAATAATGATGCTTCTCCACATGGTACAATGGGATAACCTACGGGTGGAAGTAAAACTGTTCTAAAATTGTTATGAACGCTAATTTAAAAATCTTAAGTGCCTAGAAACATTCTTGATTGAGAAGCCCCTGTTTGTGGTCATAAAAGATAGGGGAAATGTTTTATTGGATGGGACAATTTTATGAGTGTTAATTTTTCTCTATCTGAACCATAGTGTAACCTAAACAAGGAACCTATTATTCAAATGGCTGATTTACCCCGCTAGGATTTCTAGGATGACTTAACTGGAAAATGGATTAGCAACCCTGAAAGTTGGGGTTGATTTTATTTGGACTGTGTGAGTTTAAGCTCATGGCTATGCAAAATATTAATCTTAGCTTTAGGATATTTGTTGATAATTTCTCTGGTTCCAGCAATGAAATTATATCAAAGGATAAAGGATGAGTTTTCTGTATACCAAATGGGAAGAGCTCTGGTACAGAAAATGTGAAGAAATTGTCATCAGATAGACCATAGAGTCAAATAAAATAATTTATCTATATGTGAAAAGAATCAGTACCTCCACACTTTCTCTTAGAGAAGTCATTAAAAGATCTACTCTGGCATGGCCCATGTGGCTCAGTGGTTGTGTGTCTAGTTATAAACCAGGAGGTCATGGTTCAATTCTGGTCAGGGCACATGCCTAGGTTTCAGGCTCAATCTCTGGTGGGGGTCATGCAGGAGGCAGCCGATCGATGATTCTCTCTCATCATTGATGTTTCTCTCCCTCTCCCTTCCTCTTTGAAATCAATAAAAAAATATTTTTTTAAAGATCTACTCTGTATAACATTGAGGACAATAATAATTTATCTTTTCTTTAAAGGTCATGTTTACTAATCTAGCACCATAATTCCAGTCTTAGGAGCCCCAAGCTGCTAGAAGGAGGAAGGGAAGAGGTGAGGATATTGGGAAAGTAAGCACAGTTCTTAACTTGTGGCCGCATTTGTGCTCAAAGCAAAGGCTGAGACTGGACAGAAGACAGACGCTTTGGTTCAGATGTAAAGGAGGCCCTAGAGAAGAGTAGAGTCAGGATTTCCTGGAGCCAGTGCTGGAGTTGGCCTCGTGAACTAGGGGGTTTCTTCTTGGCATCCATGTCCTTTTGAATTTCTTCAAGTTGTTTAGCCAGGTTTGGCATGTCATAATTTTGAGCCAGATACATTCCAACCAGGCTGCCAAAAGTAAATCCAACCAGAAACTGGAGCATGATGTCAGTGAAGACGGCAGGATGGGCGGTGGTACTAGTAGCTCTGTGGGCCTCTCATTAAGTCTTAAGCATTTCACACAGTGGTTTACACACCTTCTTAATACTCAGTGAAAGTCTTGCGTTCAATGATTAGAAAGTGGTCTCTGGGGGAAAAATCATACTACAATACCAATTATCTTACATGTGCTTTCCCTCTATATTGAACTCCTAATAAGCTCTCTAACTTACCTGTACAAAGCTACGGAACTGGGGATTTGTCAAAATTTTTTAAGTCCACGAGATTTCCATATGGTGACACATCTTAGAAGCTTTCTATATGTTTGCAACTGAAGATTCGGCCAATAGTTTATACTGAGACTGTGTTATTTGAAAAAAGACCCCACCCCCCAAAAATAAAATAAAAAGAGAGATTCAGCCTAAAAATACTCTTAACCATCAGGAGGACATAAAAAGAAGTCATCGCTTTGATTTCATATACTGGAGTCACTGAGGATATAAATTCCCAGGAATATTTAATCGCACGAATAAGACTGTACTACTGCCTTTCAACTTGCAAATTCCAGTGAGAAACATCTGTTTCTCATTGCTCTCAACTCTTCAGAACCTCAACCTCTGATTTCTTCAGGCTGCAATTCTAGAGTAGGGATTCAGAGCACCGCTATCAGCCAATGTGAAAACAGGGATAAATGAGGAGTTTCCAAAAGGTTTCCACTGGATGACTTTCCTATTCAGAACTTGCCAAAGATCTGGGGTCTTATGTCCAAGGCTTACCCACTCAGAAGCTATGGGTTAAGAAAACAGATACTTCACTCCAGATGAAGAAAATGGAGACTTACTTGTGAGTAACAAGATGGACCTGGAGTGAATATGACGACATGCTAGAGTTTGTATCATATGTTTAGAAACAGTAGTTGAAAATCCTTTAATTATTTTTCACATTAATATAAGTATTCAATATATAAATAATAATACCCCCTGGTTCAGCAGTAGTGTTTTTAGTTAAATATGTGAATTGACCCAGCCTGGAGAAAAATTTGCAATAGAATCTACAGAAGATCCTGATGTTGGAAGCAATTCCTTTACAAAATTACTGCCTTCGCAGCAACTCTATATTTGTCTTCAAGTAAAAGAAAGCAACAATAGAAACAAACACTGAACTTGTGTTAAAGAAGCTACTAGACCTGGAAAAGCAAAGCTCACATCACTTAGCCCTGCAGCGGTAGATGATGAGGACTACCTGGAAGCAACACAACTACAACACCCCCACCCCTCATTTTAGCCAGAATGTACCCAGGTTCAGTCTTTGAGAAGCCATTCCCCAGCATACAGGGTGAGGGTGAGGGCCACTGACATGGACGAGGAAATCAAAGTGAAAATCAGTTATGCCTTTATAGCCCAGAGTACCATATCCAGTTTGGCTTTGATCACCATAGTGGAGGAATAAAAACTTTAAGTACATTGAACTACGAAGAGATTAAAAAATATTCCATGGTTTCAGAAGCAAGGAGAAGAGGGGAACTGGTTGTCCAGTGTAGTTGAGATCAAAATTCTAGATGATAATGACAAAGTCCCAGAGGTGATTTTTACTTCTATTCTCACAGTGATTCCTAAAGATTCTGCACCTTAGCTAGTAATTGCTCTGTTTAAAACACAGGATCCAGATTTGTGAGGAAATGGGGAGATACAAGAAAATGCACCTTTCAGAATATAATCTTGCATGAATAATTACTACAAGCTTGTAGCAGATGGGGTCCTGGACCTGGAGTAAACCCTGGGGTACAATGTCACCGTCACAACCACTAACAGAAGCAAGCTACCCCTCTCCTCCAGCAGAAGCATCACCCTACACATTGGTGACATCAACAACAATGTGCCAGTTTTCCACCAGGCTGCCTATGTGGTCCATGTGGTCGAGAACAACCCTCCTGGTGCCTCCATTGCCTAAGTCTGCACCTCAGATCCCAACATGGGACCCACCAGCCATATCTCCTACTCCACTGTGGCTAATTCAAATGCTTTAAGTGAATTTGAACTAGCAGAATGCTGGATATGGACTGTTCCTTGTAATCAAGGTTCTATTTTTCCATATGGTTCCTTGTAATCAAGTGATCATACAATGGATTCAAATAATGTTAGCATAGCTTTCCACTGAACTTGCAGTTTACAAACACTTCATAAATTATGGAATAACATTCACATATAAAATTCCCCTTTATATGTCACTCTGATTTAGAAGCTTGAAGTCTAAAATATAACAAACAAACAAAGAAAAGGAAAGAGTAACTTTTGGAAAGTGAAATTAGTTAAAGTGAATAATATGGAAACTGAAAAGAGTGGAAGGAGAATTACTGGTATGACAAGAGAAAGATAATATTAATAGTAAGATGCATAAAAGTGTCTGATTGATTAGTCATGGTAGTGTTCCATATTGTTGTCCATGTATGCTATATAATTTTTATTATAAGTGCTACCTGGATGTTGGTCTCTAAAAGGAATTCAGCAAATCAGATAATTTGGCATCTTCAATGTGGATTCTGATGCTCACCTGAAGACTTTGCTAAAGCTTGGGAACCAACAATAAGCAAGCATCTCCACCAATATGTGTCACTTGCAGGTATTGGCTTTATCTTGTGTAATACTTGGTCTAGCAGTATTTCAGAGGAAGCAGTGAATAGTCCTGGTGAGCAAAAGGCACGCATTTGATAACTATTGACTCTTCTATTTACCTTATTTAAAATTGACTTTTACATGTGGTATGAGGTAGCAACTCAATGAGGTAAGGGTTGAGGTTCTATTTTTCCATATGGATGCCCAGTTTTTGCAGCAGCATTTGTCGAAAAGATTTTCCTTTTCCTATTGAATAGCTTTGGTAAACTTGTTGAAAATCATTTGATTGAGCTCTAGCTGATTTGGCTCAGTGGATAGAGCATCAGTCTGTGGACAGAAGCATCCTGGGTTCAATTCTGGTCAAGGGTATATGCCTGGGTTGTGGGCTCGACCCCAGTAGGGAGCATGCAGGAGGCAACTGATCAATGATTGTCTCTCATCATTGATGTTTCTATCTCTTTCTCCCTCTCCCTTCCTCTCTGAAATCAATAAAAATATTTTAAAAAGGAAAATTATTTGCTATATGTGGGTCTATTTCTAGATTATCTATCATGTGCCATTGATCTATTTGTCTATCCTCTTGTCTTGACTATTGTAGCTTTATAGTAAGTCTTGAAGTCAGGTAGGTAAGTCTTCCAACTTTCTTCTTTTTCAACATTGTTTTGACTATTCTTGGTTCTTTGTCTTTCCAAATAAATTAAAATAATCTTGTCACTTTCCTGAGGGGAAAAGCCTGCAATGATTTTGAATGAGGTTGCATTGAATCTATTCATTCATTAGGGGAGGGATCATCCCAACAATATTGAGACATCCGATCCATGAGAGTAGTATATATTTCCAGTTACGTAGGTCTTCTTTAACTTCTCTCAACAATGTTTTATCATTTTCAGTGTAGATATCTTGAATATCTTTCATTAACTTATTCCTACATACCTGATGGTGTTGAATATTACTGTAATTGCATTTTTGTTTTATTTTCTGATTGCTCATTGCTAGTTTACAGAAAAAAGGAATAGATTTTTGTATATTCCGTATGCTTTTGAAGAACAAGAGGTGCAGGGTGCTTTATTCTTATGCTGTATGAGACCGTCATGTGAGAGGAGATAGCATAAACTTAAACCGCCTCTTCGTAAGCCCAGGCTCCCATTCTCTGCAGTGTATAGGCTCAAAGAGCCCACTCAGAAACAAGAGCCTGCCCCACGTCTAATAGTGAGTGGTTCTTTCATGCATTTATTAACTGCTTGCTTTATGTAAGGCACTGTCCTAGGTGCCAAGGGTGCAGCAGTGACCAAGGCAGGTATGATTCCTGCCTTAACGGGCCCCCATTCTAAGATACCATCTTTTACAAGTCTGATAAATGCCGCCACAGAGAAAAACAAGGATGCTAGGAGAGTTTGTAATAGGGAGGCCTACCACTGTCCAAAGAGTCAAGAAAGGTTTCTTTCAGGAAGAGATATTTAGAGTGAGATCTAAAGAATGGATCTAAAGGATAGGTAACAAAGAGACTAAAGAAGGAAATACCAGGCAGAGGGACTAGCGTGTGTAAAGGTCCTAAAAAATGAAAAGGTGACAAACTGAAAAGGGTTAGGGAGGCTAGAAATGTAAAATAAGTAGAGCCTGTAAACTATATGAAATGTCCTGGATTTGATTCTAAGTGCCCTTGTCCTTAGAAGCTATTGAAAGGTTTTAAATAATACAGTGGCAAAATATGATTTGGATTTTTAAAACATTACCCTGGCTGCTGTTAGGTGACTTGATTTGTGAGGGTTAGAAGTGGAAGTAGGGAGAACAGATGGGAGACTATGGCAATATTCCTGGTAAGAAATAGAGCTGGAACGGATTCAAAGGAAAGCAGTGAATATAGAAATAAATGGGTGGATTGGAGAAGTAGATTCAACAAGACAATAATGGAATGGCTGGAATGTAAACTCCATGAGGGCAGGGACTATTTTGGTTATCATAGTCCTCAGTGTCTGACAAGATCATTGCCTGGCAAGTGGTAAATCCTCAGTAAAATAGCATTGGCTGAATAAATACAGTAGATGAAAGAGAGGAGGGATTGAGTCATTTCCAAGTTTCTGAATTGAGGAACTGATGGACAAACATATCATTTCATAAAATGGAAGACTAGTGAAGGGTAGATTTCAGAGACATCAAGAGTTGAGTTGTAAACATGTTAAATCTGAGATCCTGAGAAACATCCACGTGCAGATATTAAGGGTGTGGTTGGATATATCGTTAGCATTCTTTTACTCTGACTTCTTTCATTGTGAAAATCCCTTCAGATGGCTAGATCCTTACCAGGCTGAACATGATAATATTCCTGATAGTTCTACTCTGGTATATTTTGGGGCTCATGGCAGAGCTATCCATGTTTTATTTTTCTTCCTGATCTCTTTTTCACTAT